CCCGGCCTCGGATAAAGCGGACGAAGATGGATGGATGGATATATGAAAATTGGTGTATCTCAAAAATAAAACTATGAAGACACTTAAAATAAATTTCCTTGGTGGGAAACTAGTTTGTGCAACTTTTTTGTATTTACAGTTTTGAGGGATAAGCCTCTTAAATTTCTCTAACTAGAAATATATGTTAAAAAAACAAAAACGATTTTAATTTTTTTGTAGTTTATTGCACTTTTTTGCAATTTATGTAATTACTATGCACTTAATGCAGACATATTATTAAAATTTGGGCTATAATGGTTGTATTGATGTATAGCAACTTGAAATGCTCCAAAAAATGGCTCCACAGCATGTAAAAATATACTATAAGCTCTGGCGGACTTGGTTCTATGGTAGGTCTTAAAGGGTTAATCTCACATAAAAAACATGGAAAGGATCACCCTCCCCCCCTTTTTTGCATCATTTTCATCATGCGTAGTAAATTCTGCCTTTGTCTTAACAGAAGCACCATAGCCCGGTTGTTGTTAGCCCGAACCATGGCTGATATCGTGTAGAAATCTCATTTTTGATAATCTACTATTCTATTTTAATGCAAACCTTTCCTTATCACAACGTAAACCTCACTACAGTGGAGGGAAGGTGAAACAATAAAAAAGTAATGGGATTCAAAATCTGGTTTTCTGAGTGATCTGATTTATACCGTCAATAACCAACCTTTCTCAATCTCTCGACTTTGTCACAGTTTCGAACATGAGACAGCCCATATGCTACTCCATATGTCACTCGGTGTCTAATATTGCCGCAGCTGGTGTGGCGCTGACGCCAAACAACACCTCATGTGTATCTCTGATATTCCAGTGTCTGGGACAAAATGTCAGCATTTGGTCAGCCTGGGAATTGTATGGTGTGAGAGATATTATAAACAATTAACAATCTTGCTAAAACTTTCAAAATGTAAAAAAGAAAGAAAGAAAAAAAGAAAGAAATAGAAAGGACTAATAGTTACTTTTGTTGAAGAAATAAGAGAAAAAGTTCATTTTTTTGGCACATGTATGTCAATTTGTTGATGATTGGCTACACTCTCTGGATTGTACCAGCTGATGAAATAATATAACAGGAGGGGTAAGCTTATTCTACATTCACTTGTAGCTACAGTACCAGACTGAATTGTTATTGGTGGGTCTGAAAACCAGTCACGTATAGTTGTTGTTTTATCTGGGATTACATTCAGTCTGAAAACATTGTGCAACTTTTTTACTATGATTTTCTGAGTTGAGCAATATTGTTCACTGAAACTGTGCAGGTAGGATCTCGAATAAAAGTATCTGTGGAAAAAAAAGCTTTTCATTCTGGTCTTCTGATTGGGTCCAAACCAGGAAGTGCTACAGTGCTAACAAAAACACAAAACTAAGGATACATGTTTTCTGATTCTTATTCATGGAATTGATGGACAAATTCTTGAGCGTTATTAGCATTAAAAGTCACACATGCTTCTAGCTGGCTACTCTCTTATCACCTTTTAAATTGGCCATATAGACAAACACATATTTTCAAAGCCTTGTAAGTCAAAAGTGTGCAAAAAAGACATGCAAGTGAAATAAAACATACATTGTCTACAGCAAGTCAACAGTGACTTTTCATTTAGCTGTGGTATGTAATTACATTTTCTCTTTCTTCAGTCATTCGTCCTTAACTGCTTAACTGCAGTCTGATGTTGAGCACATGAAGAAGGTTTATTAGAGACTGTTTGATGAAAAGACTAGAAGCAAAAAAGAGTATATTTACCAAAATTAGGAGCTAAAAGACGCTAAAAGGCTCTGCAGCATTCCAGACCTCCATCACTTGTAGTTCAATACAAGCATCACTTGTATTGAACTACAGTGATGCATTTACATTATTAAGAACCATTTGATTCCCTGCTTGTATAAGGATATTGATGAGATCAGAGTCAATGACCTTGACAAGTGAAAACTCCAAAGAAATTGATGGACTCAGTGTCACCGAGATAAATGTTTACAGGTTTTAAGAATATCCATCAAGCAAAGGCAATCACAAGGACAACTGAGTAAAGCAGCTTTTCATTTACCCTAAGAGATTTGGAGCAGGCAGATGTCATATTTTACTCCTGTTGTTTTTAATATATAATGTGAGTCATGACACAACACATTGCACAAAACTCCTAGAATCTTCTCGTGCCCGTTACATGGACTGGAACTTAACATAGTAGTCTCTGTGCCGAGTCAGACTCTGTGTCTCTTGAAACCTGCTTAAAGCCTGCTGTATAATCAACAAAGTACACCGACCTCAGTGACAGAACAAACCTGCTTTTCTTCTTGCAGATGACAGCGCTCTTCTTATCTTTTATTGTTTTGTTTTTTCCCCTTCCCCCACAACAGAAGCGATCTGTTTCCTAGTCATGCATCGAGAGATCAAATCTAAAAGTAATACAATCTCTGGACTTACATCGCAGTCGTTTAATTTGAAAACCAACTCTCGCTGCCTTCTCCGGTAGCTTTAAACTGAAATAAGTTATGCCGGCGGTGCCCTCGCTTCACCCTCTGACAAGAACAATAGCGGCCGGCTCGCCTCAGAAAACTGTGTTTTACAATAATACTTGTCCACAAAGCAAGACCGACAATGTCAATGGTTTTATGGTGCGCTACACAGTGCAGCTAATGTTCTCCTGCAAGCCAGCATCGCTTCACTGCGTCTCCCTCTCGCTCTCTCCTCCTCCTTCCTGTGTCTTCCAGAGTCTCTCTCCCTCTTTCTGCCTCCTGTTTTTTTTTCCTTCTCTCTTTTATTCTCCTTGGCTCTCCCTCGCTCCCTTTCTCAGTATGAAAAATCCATTCCGGCATGGGTTTTGACAGCCTGTCTTTGGTGGGTGTGTAAAATTCAAATAATTCACTGTTTATAGACAGTCACTTTGGGGCTGCTTTGTATTTTGTATTTGACTCCGGTGTCACTTTGCCTGCCCGTTGAGTCCCAATCGGCAACATTTAGCTTTTCAAAAAGAAAATAAATAAATAAATAAAATCTGCCACCAAACTGCAGGTTAGTTTTTGTTTTTTTTGACTGTTTCCAAGGGTGGGAAGTTTTAGGCGACCAGTCATGGTGGGAGATACATCTTGAAATACATCTGAAATAAGCGATTATATTCTAAGCAAACAAAAGAGTGTTAAATAGTGTTAAATATGTGTTGCCACATTGTTTTGTGGCATATTTAAAGCCCCCTTGAATGTAAATGTTTGCACTTGAGTGTGATTTAAAAACCTTTCGCTGTCATACTTTTTTTTTTTTTAACCTTTATCATCCAACTTTACAGTTTTGTCTCCCCTTTATTAGTGTGGCTTCTTGTAGAGGGTACATGATGTTAACACTGTAAGAAAGACTGTAAGTAATTGCCCTGTGTGGCAGTTAGATTTGGGGGGTTTTATTTAGAAAATAGGTGAGTTGGTGGCCCAAGTGGAATAGTTTAAGTATGTGTGGGTCTTGTTCACAAGTGAGAGCCGCGAGGGATTGACAGGCGGATTGAGGAGGGTTAGTCATGACACACAGGAAAGTCTATGGCTCTGTGCTTGCTGCCTCTGCAAACTGGTCCCAGATAAGCAGCAGAAAATGGATGACTGGACCATCTTTGCACATTCTATAGTGAAATACGTGTTGTGCCTTTTTTTAAGTAGATCCTAAAAAAGTATGTCACTGACACACAGGAAGCAGTTTGATCACATGTCAAACTTTCAAACTTCAGTCACGCATTCAGATCAGCAACAAACTTGATGAAACACGTGTAAGACGAGGAAGTAACGCAGCTTCACTGTGGAGCTAGCTAAGCTAGCTAATCTCAAATGCATGGAAAGTGGAGAAGCAGCAGCAGAAGGAGATTAAAAAAAAGAATAAAAAAGACGGGTAAATAAATGAATTAAACAGTTTGTCTGCCTCCAGTTGTTCATGCAACAAAGTAAAAACAGACTGACTGCATCTGTTGACTCAGTGAGTCGCTCTTCCAATGCCTGAAAGAAGAAGCTACAAAACCCCAAAGTGACTCGTGTTAAGGGAAGTAAAGTTTGCAGATAAACTCGCACTGTATTACTGAAGTACATTAATTTACTCTGCTGTGCTGATGCTGGATTGTTTGTGGCGGTTAAATAACAGAGTAGTAAGTCATCACACACCGTGATTCAATGCCAGTACGGTAATATTTTTGCAGCAAAGTTACCAACTTATCGTTAACTTGTTATGGAAAACATCTGTTATGGAAATTTAGTTTTCCTGTTAGCCAGTACCACATGTATAAGTGTGTAGCCTACATTTATTGCTTTCTGAGATGTCTATTCTTTCATAGGTAAATATTGTGCTTTTAAGTACTAAACTTATTTTTGGGGGGGAAATATCACATAAGTTGACATAGTATATTTAATATTTGCACCATATATCATTTATAGCAACCTTTTTCACATGGGTGCTGATAGCATTTGTGGTCCTGATAATGCTGAGTGTGCTACCCCCAGTTCACACAGATATCGCCATATTACATCACATCTGCAGGACCCTCTATGTTAAAGATATTCCCGCAGCTATCGCAGCTGCCTGTTTATGGGTAATTAAACAAAGTATTTGGATTCTTTTTTGAGTGTTATTTTCATATAGACTTGAGACTGAGAGATCCACAGTTTGTTGTCCACTGAGCTGGAAATGCCCAATCTTTCATTATTTTTTCACATGAACTGCCAAATTATCATTTACCTACTGCTTATCTGCAGAATATATTTTGCATCTAATTCTCTGATTTTCCATGACATTTGCACTGTGCTTTGTATGGTTATTTTGTCTTTGGTTCCTATGCTCTGTTCCTACGTTTTTGTCTTTGTTCATTTGATTTTCCTGTTTTCTCCCTCTTATTCTTCATTTAAGTCTTGTTTTTACTCCCACTTCTTCTTCTTCTCCTTTTTTCATGTGGCTGTCGTTAAAGAACCTCTTCACGTTTTTTTGTGTGTGTTTCGCAGTGACCCCTACTGGGAGCGGCCAGCTAATGCAGGCAGCTGCTCCGCCGCCCGGCCCAAGACCCTTCACCTGGCCGGCCAGCAGCATACCTCCTCACCATGGTAACGTTTGTGTGTGCTCCTTGTAGCAGTAGCAGTAGCAAAACCAGTAGTATAACTTCCCTGTGTGTGTGTGTGTGTGTGTGTGTGTGTGTGTGTGTGTGTGTGTGTGCGTGTGCGTGTGTCATCGACAAAGAGTGGTTTGAATGGATTGCCAAACCCTTTTTACTGTTGTTTTATTGTTGTTGGTTCATATACAGATTTGTCTTAAAAGGAAGGGATGTACGTTCGTTTTCATGCATTGCCATTTAATTTGCAGCTGATTTTCTAAGACGTTAAAGACGTAAGGATCACCAATTCAACTTGTTCCATTCAATTTCATTCCAGGATAGGCCTTAAAATGGAACGACTTCCAGCACTGATGTGACTGGTTCTTTGGAAGACATTTTTGCTTTGATTCACTTGTGCTGGCACCCAACTCAATTTCTGGCATCAGGGATCCTCTGGCCTCATTTTACCTGACGTATTATGTTGCATAAGAATAACTATGATGAATTCCATGCAGACAGTCATACATATTGTCAGTTTTGGAAAAACTGAACAGCTGCATCTGGTTGGGCATTGGTTGCATCACTGTTGTAAAGAACTCCTACTTCTAGAGAAAAGTTGAACTGATACCCCAAAATGACTTATTTGCTAAAGCCAGGTATCAAAGTATCACCCAGGGTTAATGTTCTGCATCCAAAAATTGCATTTCATTTAGTCATTTTCTGGGAATTGTACATCTATTTCCCACAGGTCAGCAACAAGGAATTTACTATGCCATCAAATATTATTTTGAACTAACTAGAAAAAATGAACAAAGCGTCATAACATCCAAAGTGAATGTGGGCCTTCTGCTCCACCATCTCCAATTTGCCTGAAAGTTTCATGGTTCAAAGTCTGGGCAAAGATGTTTGCTGTGAAACTTTTTACATATATTGAAAAAATACACGTTTTCAAGATATGTTTTTGAAAAATGGTCTAGTTCCAACATTTTTTTTACACTTTGACATTTGAAACAATTTTTGAACATGAATATCTCAAAAACTATAAAAAATGCCTGAAATTTTCACTGATCTTTCTTACCATTAAAATAAACCAGGATCTGTAATGTTGGACCAATAAATAGGAAAATCTATATTTGAACGCACACTCATAAAAAACACAAAAAAGTAAACAAACCATCCACCCATCCACGTATTCACATCCGCTTATCCGGGGCTGGGTCATGGGGGCAGCAGCCTGAGCAGAGCAGCCCAGGCCTCCCTCCCTGCCCAGAACACCTCACCCAGGAGCCGCCCAGGAGGCATCCTTGTCAGATGCCCGAACCACCTCAACTGGCTCCTTTCGATGTGGAGGATCAGCGGCTCTACTCTGAGAAAAACAAAACTGCTATTTAACCTTTTATGCTGGACTGAGCAAATATAAGTTCAGTGACAAAAAAAAAATATTAGTAAACAATTCTAGGATTTCCAGATAGCGTGCAAATTATAACTGCAAAAATAATGAACTTTGTTAAATATGTAACTATTTTTCCTTTTTGAGACCTACTCTACCTTCCATTTGTAAAACCTACTGGAAGTCTTATAATGCAGGTTAAGAGACCTCCAGGGCAGTAGGATAGTAGTAGAATAGGTCACTAGAATAAAACTTCTCTTCAGATTCAAATAGACGACCTACTGAAGTTTTTGTTGTTGTTCCACAATTTGTTATATATGATTAATTAACAATGGCAGTTGAAAGAATATAGCCTTTTCTTCATTTTTCTATCTAAGAAGTTCATATAATAAAGTATTCCACATGCTCTATTTGAATTATTGTGAAATTCAACTATATGTCATTGAGATATTGTCACAATTTGGCTTTTGTAATTTTCATTAGTGTGTGCTTAAATATGAAACATTGCAGGATGACTTGAAAGCCAAAATCCAGAGATTTTCTGATGTGCCTGTACCCAAATGACAGATTGTGATTGATTTTGATGTTAAGAAAAACCAGTGAAACTTTCAGGCCTTTATCTTTAATAGTTGAGATTTCCGTGTTCAAACATTACCTCAAATGTCAAAAGTGCCAAAAATCATACTGGGAGTGGGTCAACAGACCACTTAAATATGTGTATGCACTATTTCCATCTTGTTATATATATATATATTATAATATATATATATATATATATATATTAGGGGTGCAACGATACACAAAATTCACGGTTCGGTTCGGTTCGATACTTTGGTGTCACGGTTCGATATTTTTTCGATACAAAAAAATGTTCATGCCTTTTTAATTTGTCATTTATTAAAATTATAAATATATATTTTAACTCAAAAGTACAGTTTTTAAATTTAATGTTGCTGAAACAACAAAGGGATAAAATAATAAATCTATCTGATCGAGAAATCACTCATCTTTGGAAAAGAGAGTTTATTACAGAGAAATGGCTCTTTCCAAAATAAAAGCTATACTATACGCTTCTTCTGGGCTATATTCTCAGCAGCATATTAAACATATCAGGTCCCCATAAGGAGAATCATGTGCTAACGGCTGTCTAAATGACTCGGGTAAAGTTTGTAGCATGCGTGCTTGTTGTTTTTGTCTGCTTCCACTTGTCTTTGCACTAGGATGATGTCGGCGTAAATGTGCAGTCATATTCGTTGTGTTCCCACTAGTGCTGTCAGCGTTAATCTGAATACGTTAAACGCCACAACACGGCAAATCTCCGTTAACGAGCTACCGCGGATCGCCCCGTGCGTGGGGCTGGACGGCCAACACGTTAACGAGCTAACTGCGCTAACACACTAGCTCCCACCCATGTAATTGAGCATTGCGTGGCACATCCAACATACTGTTTTACTTTAGTCCATGACGCGCTTACCTTCAGGGTCATACGTCACATGAAAACCAAAATAGTTCCAAACGCCAGATCTGAATGAGGGTGGGGGAGGTTCAATTTGCCATGTTGCAAGGAGAGCTTAACTTCTGTCTCGCTAGCTTGCCCTGCGCTCAGTGAATCTGCGTTCGACTACTCCGCCTAGGCTGCACTGTCGAGCGCAGATCCACTGAGCGCTCAACACAGACAGCATCGTCAGAAGGAAAGTTGATAAAATAAATTAAAAATTTTGTATTGTTCGATACATATGCGTACCGAACCAAAAGCACTGTATCGAACGGTTCAATATCGATACGAATATCGTTGCACCCCTAATATATGTGTGTGTGTGTGTGTGTGTGTGTGTGTGTTGAAAAGTATATAATATATGAAGCTACAATTTCACAGCAATTAGCTATGGACCTTAACATTTTCAGGCAACTGGCTGGGCACAAAATGTTCTATAAAATGACCCTAAAGTCAACACAGAAGAGACAGAACAGTTTCATTAATGTCATGATTTGCACCTTTTTAAGTCCTTTGATTTTCGATGCAAACTACTTGTTTTTGTTTTTATGACATTGTAGCCGTTTCTGGTTTTCCTGGTTTTGTTTTAACCAGATAATGTTAATTTTAAGAAGCCAACTGAAGCCAATGCAGAAGTGTCTTTAACTGGCATTTTTTTCTAATAACTTGCATCTTGTTGGCCGACTCATTTCATTGCTCAAATAAATTTGATTGTATAGAAGTCAGGGAGAAAACAAATATTACAGGCTTCACTTCTGTGTGAACACTTTCCTGATGGGATTATGGTCTAAATCAGCGGTCTCCAACCTTTTTTGGGCCACGGACCGGTTTATGCCCGACAATATTTTCACGGACCGGCCTTTAAGGTGTCGCGGATAAATACAACAAAATAAAACTAGTACCGGTACCGAAAAAAAGAAGATTCATTCATAACACACGTGAAAAGACCCAGGAAAACCGAGTTAACGATAAAAACGATAACAAAATAACGCTGAAAACCGATAAAAACCCTGAAAACCATACATTTCACACCTGAGCCTCAACTCTCGCGGCCCGGTACCAAACGACTCACGGACCAGTACCGGTCCAAGGCCCGGGGGTTGGGGACCGCTGGTCTAAATCACTAATTTCAAGCCTTATTTAATATAGCATGACAGTGATTTTTTTTAAGTTACAGCCCTCTTAGAGTTAAAAAGGAGTGTAACAGCCCATGCTTCAGGTTGTATTGACAAGGACTGTCAATCACTACCATATGAGCATACAGTCGTCCTCTGTTTCGTCTTACTTGACACACACTCCACTAAAGCTCTGAGATGGTAATGGTTCAAGGTGGTTAAATAAAGGCTTCAAGACAGGACTTCACTAATTGGTGGTTCCCAAATTGCTGCTTTTATATAAACTGCTTAAAAAGCTGTAACAGCAAATTCACAAATGCTGTCTATATATGTGAGTATGAATGTCAAAGCTCAGTCTGATTATCCTCGTGTGTTTATGTACTGCCATAAAACTGCATTATTCTTTTTCGATAGTTCATCCTCTCCACCCTTCCCTCTTCTACCGTCTTTGTAAGTGAGCAGTGAGAAGAAGGGGATTTGACACCAGGAAGTGAACTGAGGCCTGGTGCATTGTGTCTCGAGTTCTGTGTATTATTGTGTGCGTGCGAGTGGTGGATTACAGTACTGGAGAATAAAGGGGGGATTTGTGTCGGAGTCGGGCAGAGAGCTGAAAGGAGACGGCAGTTAATAGCTCATTATAGCTTGGCTTAACACCATGTAGGGCTTCTAGAAACACCAAAAGTTCGGCTTGACAGTAAATGACAAATTTAAACGACTCTGTGCGTTTTAGGCAGTTGTAAAATGAGATGTTTTTATTTATACATAACCCAACATCAGGATTTTACTAAACTGTTAGAAGTAGGAGAACGAAAGGGGAGTAAAAAATGTGTCTATTTGACTTTGGTTCTTGTCTATTAATTTGTATATAAATGTGTATATGTCTGCTGAGCTTGTGTGTATGTGCTTTTTTAATCTTAAATGCACGCGTGCTTGCGTGTGTCTAGAAGGTGAAATTGAGATAAATGGTGTAGGAGCTGGGTGGCCCTTGATATACACTCCACCTGTCTTCTCTG